AATTTGTGAATGAAGTCCTTGAGACTATTGAACTTGATGGAATCAAGGATTCCTTGGTTGGGATACAAGGTCTTAATGGTCTGTCAACTGAGCAGCGTAAGCGGCTTACGATAGCTGTTGAACTTGTCGCCAACCCCTCCATAATTTTCATGGACGAACCTACAACTGGTTTGGATGCAAGAGCAGCTGCAATTGTGATGCGAGCAGTGAAGAATGTAGCTGAAACAGGAAGAACAATTGTTTGCACTATCCACCAACCAAGTATTGACATATTTGAAGCATTTGATGAGGTACGACCTTCTCTGAGCAATTGACCAATGAATATTTGCTGGTACATAAATAAAGAAGAATTCTAGTAAATAAAGCAATTGAGTATTCAGGTACTAGTTTGTAAAATTAAATTTGAATTTCCTGTTATCAGATCATGACTTGTGACATGACAGTAAAAAACTTGTCAATTTAATGAGAATTTGATCCTTGCTGTAGTTGATCCTTCTGAAAACTGGTGGGCACATAATCTACTCAGGATCATTGGGACAACATTCAAATAAGGTTATTGAATATTTTGAGGTTAGCTTTTTTTCCCTTGAATTTGTTATCTTCTTCAGTTTCCTCAGAGAACATTTGCTTGTTTGGAGCAACTTATCTGATAACTTCTGTTAAAAGAGCATCACTGGTGTGCCCAAGATTAAAAATAATTACAATCCAGCAACTTGGATGTTGGAGGTCACTTCAGCTTCTTCAGAAGCAAAACTTGGCCAAGATTTTGCACAGATATACCTAGATTCTTCTTTATACAAGTAAGTACAATTTGTTGCATAGAAATTTTTCTCATGCTTGTTTGGCGTACGTATTTTTTTATGATCTTCATCACCTACTTGTGTACATCTTGTGAAAACCCAGACGGAAAGAGTCATCAAAACTAGATTTTAATTAATAAGCATGCATGTTAATGTAGCATAGGAGCATCAGGAATCTAGAAATCCCCTTGTAGTTGAGACTTTTGGGCTTTAAATGCATATGTGGCCCATTTGATTCAATTCTCATTCTGTTCCTGATTTATTCCTGGAGAGTGGATCATGTTTATTATCAAGAGAGAATCTTAACTTTCGTTTACTCTGATCATGAGTGGCCAAATTTTGGCCTATTTTTTTGAGCATCTGGAGTTGGTTGTATTCATCTGTTATTAAGCTCTATTTGTACTGCAATGAAGCCGAAAAACACACGTTTTTCCTTTTTATTTTGGTGATGGATGACACTCCTGCCAGTCTCAGTAAGTATTTATAAGCAGGAATTCAAGTATTC